TTTTCGGTTCTGTTTTTTCGAGACAGGGTTTCTCTGTATAGCTGTGGAGCCTGTCCTGGAACTCCCTGTGTAGAGCAGACTGGTCTCAAACTCAGAGTCTACCTGCCTCTGCCTCCCGAGTGCTCGGATTAATGGCCTGGCTATAGTCTACTTTATTTTTAAATAGCACTCAGCACTACTACATATTGTCCTACTTTTAATCTTGTCAACTTACTTGCCATATTTTTTCATTAAAATTAAGTTATATAGTCTATTTTGTTCCCTGTGGCATCCTCAGCATCCTGGCACACAAAAACACTCATAAATGAATGAAATGAATGATCCTGTTGAATCCACACTAGGGCTTATTGAGATATCAGGAATAGTGTGATTTTAGACCCAGGGGGGTTAAGAAATTTGCCACAGGTAAACTAAGACCTGCCTGCAGAACCTGTATTCCCTCTTCATGTTGTAGTACCAAAGTAACATAGGGTTTATTTCCCTGAGGATCTCATATTTTTCCATCAGTTTTTTTTTTTTTGCCATCAAAATATTTACATATGCCCTGAAGTATGAGAAAGGCTACTAAAAGAACACTGATCTGATCATGAGGACTATGGAGTTCAACAAGAGAGGATTCCGTGGTCATGGGAGAAATAAGTATCTAGAAAATGGGACTGACTGTAAAGAAAGTGATGATGTACTTTTTAAATTAATTCATTTGTTTTGAGAGATGCACCACAGCACCCATGTAGAGGTCAGAGAACAACTTGCCCTCCCTCTCCTTCCACCCATGTAGAGGTCCCAGGGCTTGGTTCATTAAGTTTGACAACAAGTGCCTTTACTTGATCTTTGCCAGCCCAAATAAGCCTTTCCTCCTTTCTAGGTATAAGATTACAGGTTCCTAAAAGATAGAGCTTGGTTTTGGGGTTTGCTTTGTTTTGAGACAGAATCTTACTATGTATCCTGGAATGGCCTAAAAATCCTCCTACCCTAGGTGTCCCAGGCGCTGGAATTACAGGTGAACTCAACCATACCCAGATAGGGGCTATCTCAACTGCACTTCAAAACAGAGCACCACAAGGCACTCCTTCATAATGACCGCCACACCTGCAATACTATTTCGAATCTAGAAGAGTAATGGCTCTGTTCATAAGTTTTTCTAGTTTCTCAATTACTAGGGGACCTGGGAACCATAAAAATTGTTGACTGAATGGCTAAAGAAGATGGAAAAGACATCTATAAGCCACCTTCTCTTAACTGTTGCTAGCACAAATGAACATTTTTCCAAAGGTCCAACAGAATACCTATTTGTAAAGAATGATTCCCTAGTTCCACCTGACAATACTGTTTAAGAGACTAGATACTTTATAGATAGGATTTTTTGTTGGGATAGAGAATGCTTTATATCTCTTATTATTTCCCTCCCTTTTTGAGTGTTAAGAATTAAAACCAGGGCCCTGTGCATGCCAGGCAGTATTTCTATCACTGAGCTATATTCCCAGCTAATGTTGATACTCTTTAAGATTAAAAATAGCTCTGATAAGCTGGGCGTGGTGGTGCAGGCCTTTACTTCTAATTAAGGAGGTAGAGACACATGGATCTCTCTCAGTTGCAGGCCAGCTTGGTCTACCATAGAATCCCAGGTCAATATGTTCTATATTGTGTAAACTAGTCTTTTTTTTTTTTTAAAGCTTTATTTTATGTACATTGGGTGAAGGTATCAGATCCCCTGGAACTGTATTTAGAGATGATTGTGAGCTCCATGTGGGTGCTGGGAATTGGACCCAGGTCCTCTAGAAGAACAACCAGTGCACCTTACCACTACGCCATTGTTCCAGCCCCATAAACTTATTTTTAAGAAACAACAACAACCAACTCCACATCAGACAGGGGTCTGATCTTCAAAATATACAAAGAACTCATCAAAAGAACAAATAATCCAATTAAAAAAATGGAGTACAGACCTAAACAGAGAACTGTCAAAAAGGAATCTAAAATGGCTGAAAGACACTTAAAGAAATGCTCAGCATCCTTAGTCATCAGAGAAATGCAAATCAAAACAACTCTGAGATTGCATCTTACAGCTGTAAGAATGGCCAAGATCAAAAACACTGATGACAACTTATGCTGGAGAGGTTGTGGGATAAAGGGGACACTCTGCATTGCTGGTTGGAGTGCAAGCTGGTACAACCTCTTTGGATGTCAGTGTGGCAATTTCTCAGGAAATTAGGAAACAACCTTCCTCAAGACCCAGCAATATGACGTTTGGGTATACATCCAAAGGATGTTCAACCATGTTCATAGCAGCATTCTCTGTCAAAGCCAGAACCTGGAAACAATCTAAATGCCCCTCGATTGAAGAATGGATAAGGAAAATGTGATATATTTACACAATGGAGTACTACACAGCAGAAAAAAATGACATCTTGAAATTTGTAGGCAAAATGGATGGAGTTAGAAAACATCATTTTGTGTGAGGTAACCCAGACCCAGAAAGAAAATTATCGTATGTACTCACTCATAAGTGATTTTTAAACATAAAAAAAGAAAACCAGCCTACAAATCACAATTCCAGAGAACCTAGACAACAATGAGGGCTCCAAGAGAGACATACATGGATCTAATCTACATGGGAAGTAGAAAAAGGCAAGATCTTCTGAGTAAATTGGGATCATGGGGTCCTTGGGAAAGGGCAGAAGAGGAGGGGAGAGGCTCAACAAAATGTAGAACTCAATAAAAATCAATAATAAAAAAGAAACAACAAAATAGTGAATTAAAAAAAGCAATGGTACTTTAGGAAAGAACAGTACAAAAGAGATGCATCTGCCATGGTCCACCCATTTATATTTCAACTACTCCATAATAAGACAATGATAAAAGATTGTTAAAAGCAAATTGCTTATGAATTAAATAAATATTCTCATTTTCAGAGAGACTAGTAGGATAGAATCATACAGATTAGAGCTTTCATTCTTCTCTCAAAAATTATAAGTAACACAATTTCTGATAATACTTACTGACTTAGTGATGGACAGGCAATAAGAATCCTATTAAGTGAAGGGATATGGCCCTCCATCCAATTATTCTGTGGTGACTGAATAGCAGAAAGTGCTTACACTACTACTAAGCTAGAATACATCAATAGTGTTCTCTAGAGAAAGGTATGTTGGCTGTTAATTGTTTTTTTTTGGTCAACTTGACACAAACCTAGGGAAGAAGGCAACTTAATAGGGATAAAAAACAAAACAACCCTTCATAAGACTGCCTGGAAGGCAATTCTGTAAGGCCTTTTTCTTTTTTTTTCTTTTTCTTTTTTTCAAGACAGGGTTTCTCTGTGGCTTTCAAGCCTGTCCTGGAACTAGCTCTTGTAGACTAGGTTGGCCTCGAACTCACAGAGATTCGCTTGCCTCTGTCTCCCAAGTGCTGAGATTAAAGGCAAGCGCCACCATGGAAGGAGAATTTCCTTCCTTCCTTCCTTCTTTCTTTTTTTTTTTTTTTTTTTAAATGATTGCTTTGAGAGGACCCATTTCAGTGGGGGCAATGCCACACCTGGTTAAGAAAAGAGGCTGGGCAAGTCATGGGTAACAAGTCATGGGTAACAGCCAGTAAGCAGCATTCATTTCTAGTCTTTACTTTAGTTTCTGCTTTCCGAATTCCCAGTGTGAATTTTTGCCCTACTTCGAACTTCATGATGAACTATGAACTGTAAACTGAAATAAATCCTTTCATCCTGAAGTTGCTTTTGGTCATGATACTTTGTCACAGCAAGAAAAATAAAAATTAAGAGAGTGGTTCATAACTAATCTCAGCACTTAGAAACTCAGGCAGGACAACTACCAAAGGTTCACATCTATCCTGAGTTACACAATTAATTCTAGGCCTGTTTGGATTACAGAATGAGATTATGCCTTAAAATAAATAAGCAAACAACCCACAATACTATCTCCATTTTAATAAGGGAAAATCCCTCCCCTCAAAGAAGTAAACAATAAAGCTGGGCATGGTAGTGCAGGCCTTTGATTTCAGCACTCAGGAGGCAGAGACAGATGGATCTCTGTAAGTTCCAGGTCAGCCAGAGGGGTAGTAAGTGCCATGAATCATGTAATCATGTTAAGTAGAGCCAAGTTGATGAGCAAGCACTAGGCTATAGAAAAAATTTTTATAAAATTACTCTCCTTTAGCAGAACCTTCTTTTGTGACGCACAGATGCTTCTAAGTATAGATAGTAGATATCTAACAGTCAAACTACATCCTTAAGCTGCCTCTCCCATCACATGATAGAGGATCTGAGACAAACCAAATTAATTTTCCCAAGAGAGAGAAAACAAAAAAACAAAAAACAAGAAGGAATCTGTTTAGCAATTCCTTCCCAAACCACTAACCAGTGTTCAATTAGATACAGATTACAATTTCAGGTGGAAAGTTGAGTAACTCCTGAAAGTTCAAATATGAATGCAGACTCAATATTCACCAGCTCTGACTATGAACAGCCAATGACTTGAAACATACTCCAACTGGCAAAGAACAATGAATGAGACAGACACAAACTATCCATTCCTCTTTTCTCCTCAATGCCACTCTTTCAAATATACCACAAATAGGAGGAACCTTAGAGCCACAGGAATCACCTTAGTGTGACCTTCATCCTAAGTCTGGGAATGACCATTGATTGACCTAAAATTCCTGTGCAGGCAGATCCTTGAGAGCCTAGACAATAGAGGATCATTTGCATCAGGAACCTACACATCTTTATCACACTTCAGAGGGAAACACTCCAGATCTGTCATATTTCTCATGGACAGTCTCTGGAACAAAGTCAAACTAGAACTGGAACCTAATTTCTTAAATGTACCCTGTACACATTAACTCTTCTAAATAAATTTCCGAGCTTTTAAAAAAAGTTCCTTTGCACAACTGGTTTCTTGTACCTTTCCAAAGTGAAATTATTTGAAACCCTCCCTCCCCATATATTAAAATATATATCCTTTCAGCATCATTTGACCGAAGTATAAAGCAACCTGGTTGGCCTCCATGCATCCGATGGCATCTTCCAAGAGTGAAAACTCCACGCAGACATAGCCATAGTCGTAACCTGGGGACAGCATTTAAATACAGACGGGAGTGGTGTTAGTGCCTTGCAAACATAAAAGACACATTTATATCCCCTGTTCTGAATCCCTTCAACACAAGCCCTCCCACCTATTCCCACCCCTCGACACTAGGCAAAGGTGCTTCCACAAACAGAAAAAGTACTGAAGGAAAAGTCTGGGTGTTTCTGAAGTTTGAAATTCATTCCAAATGGCTTTTTTCCTATTAACTAAGAAGATTCTTTGCCCTCTTCTCACTGCTGATCAGAAAAGGGTAATCCCAGAAATTTCACAGAAAATTCCCACAGAAAGTGTGATCCAAAACATTTTAATGACAGGCTGAATCTTGTGGAAAAACAGCCAACAAGAACAGAAAAGAATCTGAAAAAAATAATATATCCAAAGAGAAGGAAGAGAACCAATTACTCCAAAGCTATGCTAAAAGTCACCATTCTTCAAGCAAAAACCACCTTCAAAGACAAGTGCTGATGGAATAATGTGACTATTCTATTTGGATATACAGTAGGCTTCTGGTTGACAAGGAACAGACCATTGCAGCCACCACCATTACCACCACCACTCTACCCTCCCCATTTCAAACTCAAGTCAAAAACCAGCTAAAATCTTTATGAAAGGAGAAAGATATAAAAGCATAAATTAAATAACTTGATCCAAAATTGTGCTTACATGCAAAAAGCTGATGGTAGAGCAAGCAAAGGGAAAGACGGCAGTTGTTAGTAATCAATGCATGTTCAATAACTCTAGGTATCATTATCAAATGCCTTCCACCTTAACATTGAAAAAGCATTATCTGCAGCACAGGTCTGAGGCTCTAACGATCCATGACACTGGAAAATTATGGGATTTACAAGCTGCTAAACTCTACTTATTAACCTGTCTCATAGTTCCTGATACTGCTACCATATGACTGCAAAAATACACTTGTCACTGCAATGTTCCACATGTGGTTTCCATGCTTCCTCCATTTTCTCACAGGATAAAAAACTCACCTCTAGAACTTACACTATGCAAATGGATAGAAAAAATAGATGTGATTTATTCAGATGAAAAATAAACAGAGGGAAAGAACACAACATAAAACCTATGTGGATTTTAAACATAAAGTAGATACAACAAGAAGAAACTGATACTCATTGAATGAAGGTATCCAAAACCATAGTTTACAGGGCAAGTTCCAGCATAAGCCAAGGCTACATAGAGAAAGTGTCTTGAAAAAGAATTAAAAAACAAACAGTAACTTGGTTAGAGTCTAACCCAGTGGTGTAGAAGGTTCTAGAATTAAAGTCTGCTACCAACAAGAGACAAAAAGAAGTTGGCCTGGGTGGCACATGCCTATCATTTTAGCTGACACAAGAGAATTGCAACTCAAAGTCAGCCTGGACTAAACAGTGAGACCCTGTGTCAGAAATAAAATAAGGGCTGGAGAGCTAGCTCACCTATAGCACATTTTTGCTCTTCCCAAAGACTCAGGGGAGTCTTTGTACCCACATAGTGTCTCACAACTTTCTGTAACTACAGTTCCATGGGATGTAATGCTCTCTTCTGACCTTAATAGACACCAGACACACCCGTGGTCCACAGACATATTTGAAGGCAAAACATTCATACATATAAAACAATAAAGTAAATCTTTTCAATTCTTTAAAAAATAATAATAAACCTTTAAAAAATATACCAAATTTGGTGAAACGGATTGGATTCCTTGTTACATGGAATAAATGATCTAAAATGTTTAATGATAGTGATGACTTTAGACTTGATAACTATTTTAACTACAAATGTTGCTATACAATGATACAATGATGTATATCCTTATTTTGAGTTTCAGGAAGTGACCAGAAAGAAAAAAACGAAAGTTTGTAAAAACCTCAGCACTACTCCAGGCTGAGAGATAGAGAATTTATTTCTATTTTTATTTTTTAAAGAGTCTCACCATGTAACTCCAGCTAGCCTGGAACTCACTAGATGGACCAGGCTGGCACTGACTTTACAGTTATCTCCCTCCCTCTGTCTCCAGAGTACTGAGAATAAAGGCATGCACGACCACACCTACCTAAAGACAAAATTCTCTATCCTAATATCACAGTTTTAGACAACTCCAACTTGTCTAAACTTACCACAAAATCAGGTTCCTCCTATTAGTATACCACACTTCAGTATACATATTTGTATACAACTGGTTAATCATAAAAAATTTTTTGTTATTCAATTACTTTCAAGTGGAGTTTTCTAAACAGTCAGTTTGAGATATATGTATATTTATAATATGCTATATACTATATTATAAAAATATACATAAGACATTATACATTTTGTAAATGGTTCTAGATATTCTTTTGAAGCACCAAAGAATAACACAAAGAAACATAGATATCTTTTGTCACCAAATTTCTACTGTGAATACTCAAAAGCATGTCCATAACCAGAAAGGGGTAGCCATGGATCACACAGATGCTCTCTTGAATGCTTTGATTACCATTAAAAACATTATCAAAGGAGTGCACAAGAGTATGTAAAACAAAACTCTCCCCACAGGTATCAAAACAGAAAAAAAAAAAAAAAAAAAAACATAGAGAACCAATACCAGATTGCAAAGCCCTAAGTTTCCTTGCTATGCTTAAAGAGGCAAACACTGTGGCCCAGAAGAAAACAGACTCTGTGGGAAGAACAAGATGAATCATGACAACATTCATACTTTGTTGAAGAATAAGAAGGTTTTGATACTAAAGTCACTGGAAAGGAAAATATGTAGTTTATAGGAGGCACAATGAACATCTGTGTATATACATCAATTTAAAATCATGTGAAGTTCACAAGCCTACCACTCAAGTTTCTTCTGCATTAAAGTTTAGCTATCAAACGAACACATAAAGTTTAGCTATATAGGGTTGTTTAAGGTACCCAATCTTGATTTCAAGCATTCTCTGCATTCAAACTTTACAGTTGTATCATAAAGATTTTCAGAAATCGCCAGAAGACAATGTATATAGTACCTGTTACAAACAAGGTTCTATTACAAAATCCTTTAAATATACTGGTTTAATTCCCACAAGAATACTATAAAGGTAATCATTACTATTTACTCACGGGAAACAAACAAAGAAAGGATAAGTAGTTTGCTCAAAGACACTTTAGTTTCAAAACCAGAGCTAAGTCTTTTAAATCCAAGCAGTTCAGATTCAAATGGATACCATTAATCACCACACTATATCCTCTTTCATTTTTTCAGTATGGTTTGAATGCTGCCACGTGCTCGGTAAGAGCTATACAACTGAGGTATCAATCTAATCTTATTCTTCTACTTAAAAAAAAAAAACACAGTGTGTGTGTTTGCATGCATGTGGGAATCAGAGATCAACTTTTGTTGTTGATTTTTGTGTTTAGAGACAGAGTTTCTCTGTGTGGCCTTGGCTGTTCTGGAACTCTGTAGACCAACCGGGCTGGCCTCAAACTCAGAGATCCATCTGCCTTTGCCTCCCGAGTGCTGAGATTAAAAGCATGTGCCACGGCACCTATCTAAAGGCAAAATTCTTTATCCCAATTTTACAATTTAGAGTTCCATTTTTAAAAATCATTTTCTCTCCTTTTAGCACGTGGGCCTCAGGGATGGCATAAACAACCTTTGTGAAAAGCACCGTTATCCACTGAGCAACCCCACCAGTCTGTCTCATTCAAAAATTTATAAAAATTATAATACATTTTCAACATTTTCCCCTCCCCTCTATGTTCTCCCATGCCCCACCCTCATGTTCCCACTCAAATTCAGGGCCTGTTTTGCTTTGCTGCTGTTACATATTTAAGCACATAAACCTATAAACACAACCTGCTGAGTCCATTTAGTGTTGCTTGTATGTTTATAATTTCAGGGCTAACCACTTGGTATTTTAATTCTCAGACAAGGCTAAGCTGCCCAGGCTGACTTATTTTTGTTTTGTTTTACTTATTTTAGCTTTCTGAGACAGGGGTCTTGCTATGCAGCTCTGTGTGGCCTCAAAGTTGGAGTAATTCTCCTGCTTTTACCAACAGAGTGTTATGATTACAGGAGAGTACCTCTATTCCTTGCTCCCAGGCTGACCTTAAACTTCAGTATGTAGTCTGGACTGCTTAAACCTGCTATTCTCTTGCCCCAGGCTCCTCAGTAGTTAGGCTCCAGTCTTTCACTCTGTAACAAGACCCTAAGATTGTTTTAAATAAGAAATCTTAAATTTAATTTTTTCAGCCTTAATACAGGATGAGTCTCACACACCTGAGAACAAACGAGCCCTTTCTATAATAAAGAAATACTGAAATTAGCAGCACAATAGTCACTCCTATTTCAATTCTGATAGCAGAATCAAGGTGAGTGGGCCTAAAGAAGCCAAGTTAAAAGTATTCACTCTCAATAAAAAACTCTATTGGTACCCACAATCTTTCTGAAAAGACAAAAACTAGAAATTCTTATAAAAGATGGCTATAAAATTATGTAGCAATATGGAATTACAGAGCAATTAAAATTTTAAAAATGAATACACCCTCAATGATAATTATGTAAATTATACAAAAAAGACTGGAATTAAATACAAACTGAATCTAACTCAGAAGTTAGAGACAAAAATCAGCATATAAGATAAAAACCATGCACTGTCAAAATTATACTTGGAGAGCCCAAGATGAAGAACAACATACCATCTTTCAACATAGGTAAATCCAACATTGCCAGTTTTTCCTCCAGCGTTGCAACAGATCAGTTTTCCTTTGGCTGACACCAGATGAAGAGGTTGGCTTGCATTTAAGGGCCACAATGTATGAAAAATATATCACTTTAAATAACAGAAGCACAGCCAGCATAGTAAATGCTCACACTCAGAGAAACTTGGAATTAGAAACCAAATGAAGTCTTAGCCAGGTCTCATCCCCACCTCCATGATGATTCAGTGAAAAGGAAAACAGGAATGTAGGAGAGGGAGGCAGGATTCAAGAACCACAGATAATTATACAAAAATCT